AACAGAGGGGCCGGGCAGTGGTGGTGCACACCTTTAATCCCAGCACTCGGGAGGCAGAGGCAGGCGGATCTCTGTGAGTTCGAGACCAGCCTGGTCTACAAGAGCTAGTGCCAGGACAGGCTCCAAAGCCACAGAGAAACCCTGTCTCGAAAAACCAAAAAATAATAAACAAACAAACAAACAGAGGGAACGCGCTGGAGAGATGGCTCAGAGACTGAGAGGACTGGGTTTGGTTCTCAGTGCACACATGATGGTTCACAGTCATCTGTAACTCCCTTTGATTTCTACATGTATGCTGTCGTATGTGTGCTTCCACTCCTACATGCATATACACACACACGAGAACACACGCTAACAAATTAAAACTTAGAACAAAGTAAAACAAAAACTGGGCCTACTGATGCTACAAGCCCACAACCCCAGCACTCTGAACGTGGAGGCAGGGAGGATCACCAGTTCAAGGTTGTCCTTGTCTGCAGTATTGAGTTAAGGCTACTTTGGACTCCAGGAGAAAAGTTTGCTGAGAGCAGACACTTAGGCTGCAGAGCTGACTGGGTTTTTTATGTTCACAGGCCTCTCCAGCATCAACCAGACTCGTCTCGATTTCCACTTCTCTGCTAGAACTGCTGGCGGCACGGAGGTCCTGCAGGCCCGCCTCATGTTCTTCGTGCAACTCCCTTCCAATACTACCCAGACCATGAATATCCGGGTCCTTGTGCTAAGACCGTACGCTACCAACCTCACCTTGACAAGTCAGTACCCGCTGCAGGTGGATGCTAGTGGCTGGCACCAGCTTCTCCTGGGGCCCGAAGCTCAGCTTGCTTGCGGTCAGGGACACCTCACCCTGGAACTGGTAACCGAAAGCCAGGTGGCCCACAGTTCAGTAATCCTGGATGGGTTTTCTCACAGACCTTTTGTGGCAGCCCGGGTAAGAGCTGGGGGCAAGCATCGGGTTCGCCGGCGAGGCATCAACTGCCAGGGGGGGTCCAAGATGTGCTGTCGGCAAGAGTTCTTTGTGGACTTCCGTGAGATCGGCTGGCACGACTGGATCATCCAGCCTGAAGGCTATGCCATGAACTTCTGCACTGGGCAGTGCCCACTACACGTGGCGGGCATGCCTGGCATCTCCGCATCCTTTCACACGGCCGTTCTCAATCTACTCAAAGTCAACGCAGCTGCCGGCAGCACTGGAGGAGGCTCGTGCTGTGTGCCCACAGTTCGGCGCCCTCTGTCCTTGCTCTACTACGACAGGGACAGCAACATTGTCAAGACGGACATACCTGACATGGTGGTAGAGGCCTGTGGGTGCAGTTAGCTTGTGCGTGATACAGCCCAAGGTAGAGTAGGTAAACATGTCCTTATAAAGATGGCCTTCCTCAGAAGGAGGGAGTAACTACGTTCCTGCCTCCGTCCACAAAGTAATCGCCTTCTTTCTAAGTATTCAGACTACTCTCTGTTGACTCCAGTAGATCTACATCTAAAGGAGTCACCACCATGACCACCAGCCTCTCTGTCTCTCCTGGGACATGGTTGACCCAAGAACACACCCCCATCCTAAACCCTACTCTAGGGGTTAATCCGCTGCCAACCACAAGCAACATGGTTTTGTTCCCAGCAAAGACACCCCTTGTCACCCTTAGCCAATGATGCAATCTACTCTACCTCCTGTCCCGCCAACTGATGGCTCCACTCCACGATGACCCGCCCGAGCATCTCCCCTCGAACTCTACGGTGCTCCAAAGAACCCTTCCCCTGGGTTCCTAGCTTGCTGTTTTCCAAAGCGAGACCCTTGCCCAAGTGTGCTACTAATACTGTTTGCATAGCCTCCAGCGTCTGTCTTCCCAAGCCTGTGGGGGCTGGCGCACCTGAGCCACCGAAGCCACCGAGCTCTCCTATCCTCTGACTTCCAGCTGAATTTGACCAAAGGGAAATTCAGGTTGGAAACTAAAGACTAGGGAGTTACAGAGGTCACAGAAAACTCCATCGGGACTAAGGTCTCTCACCTCGCATCCAGGCACTTAAGAGAGTGCTACCTAAAGGTTGAGGCCAGCTAGTTCTCAGCTAGCCTGGGCTACACTGTTAAGACCTGTTACAAAGTAAAAGAAGGGAAAAGAATATTATTTTCTATTCCCACCCCCCCCACACTTATATATAAGCCACAGCTCTGTGTAGCTGTGGTGTGCTATGAGCACGTGGCTCCTGGTTTTGCAGGTAGCCGTGGCTGTGCTATGTCCACGTGGCTCTAGGTTTTGCATGTTGCTGTGGCTGTGCTATGTCCACATGGCCCCAGGTTTGCATATAGCCATGGTTGTGCTATGTCTATGTGGTTCCATGGTTGTGCTATGTCCATATGGCCTCTGATAACATTATTTCAACACTAAAGAATCTGGATGGCTTGCCATTTTTCTAGTCTCTGGTGTCTGAACAATCTTTTTTTCCCCCTAATTTACCATGTAGAACAGGCTTGCCTAGAACACACACCTGCTTTCACCACCATGCCCAGTTTTGAGCATTGTTTTTTGTTGTTGTTATTGGGTCCCTTAACCCTAACTATGGCCCTGTAACCCCTTTCACTGAGTCCTCTTGAGATAGCTCAAAATATCCTCTGTCTGCTGCCGGGACCTTCCTCTCTCTCCACCTGGTCCCCTCCAGCTTAGCTGTTCTGTCCATCTCATACTTCATATCTCGTGTTCCTCCAGGTTCCTCTTCTTCTTTAATCTTCCTCCATCCTCCTTCCAGAACTTTCAGGGGTTTCATGACTAATAATAAACTACTATTGCCTGACTCTCATCTCCCTCCGTTCTGACTCCAAGAGATGAGACAGATCAATAATCGATTATCAAGCAGGCCAATTCTGGCCACACAGGGTGGGAGGCAGAGGCACTCAGAGCTACCTATTGGAACTCCGGCTCACCTTCCTTTTGCCTACTCTTAGAGCTTCAGCCATGAGTCCTCTCTGGAAGCTTTAGTGGGTCAAGAAGAGGAAGGCCTGGGATAAAGAGTGGGCAGCATTTACTCTGAGAACTGGTCCTCTTTAGACCTTTGCCCTTCTTTCCTCACCTCACGTCTCCTCCCTTTGGCTGGACAGCCCTGACCCAGAGGATCGATATTGTCTGCAGCCCAAGGCCAGGTTTGCGCAAAGCCCATGTGTCCTTTGGGTAATATGATGTCTGTGTTTGCTTAGCATATAATCCCCTCCTACCAGGGTAAGAGGTCCCTGCAATGGAAATGTTTGGGGCCCTGCAGGTCTGAGCCGTGGGGTTTCCTATGCAGACCGTGGGAGTCGTTCCACTTTTACTTGAGAAGACCTCCTTCAAGTCCCGAGGTTTCGCAGCGTCTCCTCCTCTCCCTTCGGTCAATCTGTCCCACTTTTAGGCCTCTCTCAGCTCTAAGAACAGGACCAGACCAGGGTAAGGCAAAGCGAGGTGTTCACCTAGGGGCGAAATTTTAAGGTAAACACAAGTAATTCATCAATGGAGAAAACCAGCATTTTAATGAACGACTTTCCGACATCGTGAATGCTGCAGACCCACAATGAGCAAAGCAGCATATTTAAAAATAAACACAGGATTCGTGTTATTCACTTTCTCTTTTGGCTCTGCTTTCTGTAAGAAAGGAATGGAAGATCCTGTCATCTTCCACACATTTTCTCCCTGAGCCTCCTACCCCTACCTGACTCCTTCAGCCTGTTCTCATTTGGGCAAATAAATGGCCCTGCTTCTCCTATTTCCTTCCCCCCCTCGAGCCTCTCACTACCCCCAGCCCCCCACCAGCTCGGCGGCAGATGCCTGGGTATTTATAACCTGGAAGCACTTCTTGGGAAAGTGACTAAGGCGCTAGGGGCGTATTTATAGCTAAGTTCTGACGTAAGTGTCAGCAGGGAGGTAGGACCGGGCTAGGCGCAACAGCGAAGGGTGTGGGAAAGGTGTCGTCAGTGACTCCCACAGCCACTTCTTGCTACTTCCCCTGAGCCTGATTCCTGGCACAAACAGGTAAGCCCTCCTAGGTGCCATCAGAGATGGGCACTTAGAGCCTCATGGTCCAGACCCCAGACTAGCAGGCAGTCAGTCACCTGCAGTGACCAACAGAGAGGAAGCTGAGAGAGCAGTAGCCAAAAGTCCTGAATACGTTTCAGGGCCTGGGGAGAAGAGCAGGTGGATAGCAGTGTCTCCCAATCCTTTCTCCTCCCTCTCCATTTCATGGCGCCCTGAATTTCTGGGAAACCCGACCTCTACCATCGGGCTCCATTGCCAGGTGTCAAAGGTGGCAGGGCACCTGGTAATGGAGCACTGGGGACGTCCCCTTCTGTCTGGCAGTAGAGAGGCAAAGAGCAGAGGAACCAGTCCCTTTCCATTGCCTGGGAGGGAGAAGATGAGGCGTTGCTCATCTCTTAAGCTTCCTCAGCTTTGTCCCCACGATTCTCTGGTGTCCAGTGGCTGCTGTCCAGTGGCGAGGCACTGCCACATGGTGGACACTGGTGGTACTGAGGCTCAGTCGGCAAAGAACATCCTTTTCCCATGGTCCAGATCTAGAACTCTAGAGGCGGCGGCACCAGCTAAAGAAGGGGAAGATGGAGAATGGGTGGGGGCCCTAAATTGCACCTCTTTTGCTTACAGCTTCCCCACAGATGCCTTCTTGCTTCCTAAAGAAACTGGGACCCAGGGAGAAAGCTACAGCTACCACCCTCTTGTATAGAGGTAGAGGGTCACTTCCATTTAGGGCTGAGGGCTGACTGTGTAGCTCAGTGGTAGGGTACTAGCCTAGCATGTGCAAAGCCCTGGTTTCAGTCCTCAGCACCGGATAAAGGTGTGGTAGATGGTTCTTGCCTGCCTTTGACCCTAGCACTCAAGGACAGAAGTCGAAGATCATCACCCTTAGCAACATAGGGAAATGAAGGTCACCCTCAGCTACAGAAGACATTCATAATTAGCCTGGAATACAAGAGAGTCTGACTCAAACAACAGTGACAGAAAAAGGAATAACTCGCCATAGTCTCACTATTAAAGAAACTGAGGCAGGAGGGTCACTTACTTATACCGATGAGTACTAGCCAGTCTGGCTAACATAGGAACATTTCATCTCAAAAGACAAAAAACAAAACCAAAAAAAAAAAGTTAACAACAACAATAATAAAACAAATCTAACAGGCCTTCAAAAAAACAAAAACAAGCCGGGAGGTGGTGGTGCATGCCTTTAATCCCAGCACTCAGGAGGCAGAGGCAGGAGGATCTCTGTGAGTTCGAGGCCAGCCTGGTCTACAAGAGCTAGTTCCAGGACAGTCTCCAAAGCTACAGAGAAACCTTGTCTCGAAAAAGCAAATCAAACCAAAGCAAAGACAAAATAAAAACAAAAAAGACGGGCAGTGGTGGTGCACACCTTTAATCTGAGCACTTGGGAGGCAGATGCCAGCGGATCTCTGAGTTTGAAGCTAGTCTGGTCTACAGAATTCCAGTACAGCCAAGGCTACACAGAAAAACCCTTTGTGGGAAGGTGTTAGGGGTTGGGGAGGAGGGGAATAGAGTCAGAGACTGGGGGATGACTCAGAAGGTAAAGCTATTGCCTTACAAGCATAGGACCTACGTTTAGCGTCTCCAGAGCCCAGGGAGAAATGGGAACATGAGCTGGCAATCTCAGTTGTTGGGAAGGCAGAAACACAAGGCAATCCCTGGGACTCACTGGCCAGCCAGTCTAGTCTAACGGATGAACTCCAGGCCAGTGAGAGACCCTGCCTCAAAGGAGGATGGAGTCCCTGAGGTGGCACTCAGGGCTGTCCTCCGGCCTCACACACATACAAGCTCAAAGTCTGTGACGAGCGACTGGAAGGCTGGATGATGAGCAGCCAAGGCGGCTAAGTTTTCTCTGCTTTATCTCTTAAACTCCTATTTCCAACCACATTAACAGAGGCCTGGCACCACCCCTGGGATGCCTCAGAGTTAGCCAACTCCTACAGTGTTCTAAAGACAAGTGGTCCCTGGCACAGGCTCTGCAAAGGCGCATGCCCTCTGCCAGCCTCGATGGACTTTGTGCTGCTGTCGGGTTGCATCACTACAACCCCCACCTCTCTGGGTTTCCCCAGACATCACAGAAGCACAACCTCATCCCTTGCTCTGGGCCCTCCCCCAGTTGGACTCTGGGCAGCCAGCACAGGCAGGGTCAAAAGGTAACTTCAATATCCCGTGGCATTGCCACCTTGGCCTGAGCAAGGGGACTCCATTTTCCCACCACCTCTTCTAAAGTCTCACCCCTATCCCATCTGTAAAGCTAGAAATGAACACCAGAATTCTTCTGACCTGGAGACCCCCAAGAACTAACCATCGGAACCCATGGCTGCCTCATAAAACTATTACAGAAGTTGGTGGGTGGGCATGCTGGAAATACGGGGCGGGGGGAGGCGGGGGGGGGCATTAAAGAGCCACCCTTCCCCACTTGGCTCCCCTGGAGTTACTCCTCTGAGTCCCAGACCTTGGGAACTGAGCGACCGTGAAATCATCCTCTTTCTTGCATCATGCATGGCCACGTTGCACCCCTACCTCATGCCCCTACCTCAAGTCACCACAGTCAGAGGGCGAAACTTGAACCCTGGGGGAGACCGCCACCCCCTGCAGGGGCCTGATGGGCAGTGCAGCCGGCCAATCCTAAGGCTCAGAGGTTAGGTGTGCAGGCTGACCACTAGGTGAGGGAGCCCAAGCAGTAGGCTCTAAAGGGACCGTGCTCAGTAGCCAGCCATGAGCTGTGAGGGTCAAACATAGCTACCCATCAGATGATCTGCCCTCAGGCTTCCTGAACCCCGGGCCATCGAGGACAAGTAGCTCTCTCTGCCCTTCCTCAAAAGTAGCTGAGCCATTGCTTGCTCCTCCTGCTCCTGCGGGCTGCTGCTGCTACTGCTGCCCCCTCTGGCTCGTTAAACTGCCATCCGAGGCTCTCAACTCTGGGCCATCTACCTGGGGCATGGGGCTTTCAGATGTCCATCTCTGGCCAGTGCTTCTGTGGGCATTGGCGTGGGTGCAGAGCACAAGATCTGCATGCCCGTCCTGTGGAGGCCCAACCCTGGCACCCCAAGGAGAACGCGCTCTGGTCCTAGAGCTAGCCAAGCAGCAAATTCTGAAGGGGCT